TATATATATATATATATATATATATATGTATGGTCTGGTCGATAAAAGATCTTTAATACATTATAAAAGAACTCGTGACCTGATTTACAACCTATTTAACCCAACACAAACAATCTAATATAGCCAAATAAGAGAGAACTAATAGCAATCAATCTGACCATAATTGTTATTCATATCTCTATTTTGGGTTAAATTATGTCAATCATTCCTACCGAAAGACCAATTCTCAATAAAATTGCACTTTAAAAGGCATGCAAATATATAAACAATAAACTTGTCCTTATGATCAAATCCTCAACCCTAGTCACTAGGTCGTGATTGCCAAGACTCAAAACTCACATTACTGCAAAAACATCTTAATATTGTTGGCATTAAAAAACTTAATAAAATTAACAATCTTAAAGCACATTGAAGAGAACAAATAATAATTTCACACAGTATATTCCTGAAAAAGTTTTAGTAGAGACAAATCATTTATCAACTTTTTTTAATCTACCATAAGACATCAAATAAAACAATTGACCAAAGATTGTCAAGTCATATCATTTAACAAAAGATGTTTAATCTCATACACGATGTCAGAAGAAAAAGGAATTAATTTTAGTCTTTAAAGCCAGATGTATGTACCTCTTAATGCCAGTAGGAATATTATCGATAGTAAGAGGAATTTCACTTTTTGAATATCTTGATTGTAACTCTTTAGCCTCTTCCCTATACATGACAAAAATTAAAAAAGTTAGCGATTCAGAATAAATTTGTGGAATGAGGATGGGATCTACAGTATAAACATATGAAGAGCAAGAAAGGGAATGGGAGTAGAGGTAGAGAGGTAGTATGTCAATCAATAAATCAAGAATGGAACCAAATAGCTGGAGAAAAGTAAACGAGTTTACTACTCAAAAAAGATATCTTAAAAACATGACTATGGGACCATTTGAAAATACTTCTATGATATATATAAATATAGACGCACACACTTGCTTCTGATATGGTAAAGTATGTTCGATTTGACATTATGGCTATGATAAAAAAGATTTGGTAAGCAATTTCCATTTTTGTGTGTAAATGTTATTTGTTTATAAAACCTACTTTACCATTATATAAACAAATAACATTTACACGCTCACAAATGGAAATTTCTTACCAACTGTTTTTTATCATAGCCATAATGTCATATTGAACATACTTTACCATGTCAGAAGCAAGTAAAAATTTGTGATCAGGGGTCTAATACAGGATAAAAACATCACCCTTTAAATTTTGCATACCAAAGTTTTTTTATCATAGCCATAATGTCAAGTTGAACATACTTTTTATCATCTCAGAAACAAGAAGGAAGTTACAAATCAGGGGCTTTATACAAGATGAAAACATCACCCTTTAAATTTTGCATAACTAAATAAGAACTTTCACAACAACTAAGTACACCAATAAAATAAAACATATTAACATTCTAAAAAATCAACATGCTGATCACAGAATGATAGCTCAGAAACTCATACCTGTCCTCAGCAAAGAAAACATGTTTGTTTGCAGGTTGATTATCAATAGAGTGTAGCGAGGCAGTTAGCCTTTCAATTTTCTGCAATGGAGACCAAAACTTTCCCAATTAAACCTACACTGTCACAATATTTCGTGCAAAAACCCCATTAAAAACAAGATAACAATCCAAAACAAAGCCCCCACCTTTCTCTCACTCTGAACCTTCTGAAGAATGTAACCCATGTCCTGCGTCTTCATAAGCATAAGCTCTTCCTGAGTGTACTTATTTGCTTCACTCCTACTCAAGTCAATAAGCAAATATAACAATCACGACGACGAAAACAACAACATCAAATCACAGAAAATCGAAAAGGCCATGTAGCAAGTCATCAATTACTCTGGTCTGTGAACTCCATCAACTGTTTTTGTTCTAACCATCTTGAAGTAAAACTCATCTTCATTCCTATTAGCTGCTTTTTCCCTAAGTTTCTGTAAAACAATAAAAATTACAAAATAGTTAAAGCGGAAGGAATGAGAATTCGGTGAAGAGAGAGCGAAACTGTACCCGTAAAGTATCCTCTTTCTTGTGGAATGCTTTAGCACGTTGGACATAATCCTTATGCTTTTCGAGCAAGCCGAATTTTTTCCTCGCTGACCTAATGAATGAAAAAAAAGGAAATTGGAAAAAAGCGATTTTGATTGAATGAATAGTCATTGGTGGAAAGAAGAAACTCACGGTTGAGAACGCTCTTTGTGAGCACGACTGGGAATGGCGTTTCGAAGGGAGGACATGTTTGGTTTTGGTCACTCCTTTGCAACGATGGCTTCTGCGTTTGCTTTTCTTTTCGGGTAATAATAATAACAACCTATTAACCTGTTGTTTAAATGGGTCGGCCCAATCTACAAATTGCTTTCTTTTTTACACATACTTTCTTTCTGCATTCTACTTATTAGATTCTATTCTCATACTATATAATTCAGAAATATACACTCAATTTTTAAATTCGTAATTTGAAATAAATTTATAGATTATACCATTTTATAGACTGTGAATTTTTTAATTTAAAATGTATTTATAAATTATTTGAAAACAACAGTTTCATGCAACTAATCTTAATATTTCCTCCACTACTACCTAAAATTAGCAACAAGAAAAGTAATCACTAATGTAACAGAAATATAATATATACATATATATATATATATATATATATATATTCTTTAGCGAATTTTACTTGCACATTTTTCTATATATTTTAATATATATAATTAAAATAAATACGTATATTAAATTATAATTTACTAAAATAAATTAGCTTATAACAAGAAATTGTGACTCAGTGCTAGGACAGCTATGTTTTTCTAGTAAAATATAAATATACAATATTTAACATTTTATAATATATTCTATAATTAAGGTGTAACTTTGTTTTCTATTATGATATTTGGGAAGTCGAGTTTTATTATTTGAATTTTTTTATTTTGTCATTTTTATTGAATAATATTCTTATTGTGCTTGGATTTTATTGTTTTTAGGAAGTTTAGTCTGGTTTGTAAATTGTGTCATTTTTTTTATAATCTAAAACAATCTCCACATATTTGGTTTGGAAAATTTAGCCATGTTATTTAAATTTTTGGGTTGAAATGGCATATCATTTTGTCTTTTATTGTTGCACCTTTACTAAAAAAATGTATATTTAATGGTTTAAGTTGTCCATGTAACCGTTATGGGGAATGATGTTGTTAGAATATCTCAATTAAAGGAACACATATGTAATCATTTTTAGAAGGATTAAGTCTAAAATATTTCTTGACATAAAAATAGCTCAATTAAATGAAGGAGTTGTAATTTGTCAAGGATTTTTGCTCTTAACATCTTAAAGGAGACAAACATGATTATTGTAAATCAATAGATTGTTCTATACATCTAAATCAAAAATTAAAGATAGAACAATGAGAATTTTCTTTGACCATTTTGGTTGGAAAACTTGTTTATCTTATGAGTACTATACCAAATTTGTCTTTTGGAGTGGGAGTTGTAAGTTAGTTAATGTAAAATCCATGTATTAATCATTAAAATGTTGTTATCCATATTCTTAAATATCTTAAAAAGAATCTAAAATAAAGATCACTATATGAAGATAAAGGAAATATCCAAGTCTTTGGATATTATAATGCTCATTAAGGTGGTTCTCCTATGGACAAATACTATATTATATTATATTGTGGTTTCTTGAGAAGAAATGTGATCTCTTGAAAAAGTAAGAAACATGACATAATGTTCTTACATAGTTAATAGCTTAAGTTAGATATAGGACAATAACATTCCTCACTTGTGAGATTATATGGGAAAAACAATTACTCTAAGAATTAAATTCTCGTGAGATTCAACCAATGAAGATGTTTTGAGATAACCAAGTTGTTCACATTACTTCCATTCCATTGTTCCATGAAAAGACTAAACACATAGAGATTGATTATCACGTTGTCAAGAAAAAGTTGTTGTCTAAGAAAATTTATACTAATGATCAACTTACAAATATATTAACAACATCCTTGTGGATACCTTAGATTGAAGTTTGGTATATACAATTTGTATGATCTAGTTTGAAAAAAAAAATGTTAAAATATTTATTAAATATAGGTAGTTGTTAAAATAGATATTGATGAGCTATTAGCATTAATTATCTAGATATTTTTGATATAATTTTTTTCAAATAACAAAAATAAGCGGAGAAATAATCAATCTCTTAAACTTTTTTTTCTCATATTTTAAATCTTAAGCTCTATTTAATATATATTTTAATAGAGATGATTATTTTTATATTTAGATCTCTTGAAAGTCTCACATCGACTAAGGTCAATTTATAATATATAAATGGGTGCAAACCCCACCTTATAAGCTGATTTTATAGGGTTGAATTAGACTTAATTACATATTTTTTCCTAATTCATAAACAAATAATATAAAATAATTACATATTCTTAATTACCAACAATAATACTCCTTAACACTGTTTCTCACAAAAAAGAATTGATTAGATCTATGTCAAGGAAGGAGACTAGGCTACTACTCCGTTTTTTATAATATTCCATGTTCACGTGTCTCAAAAGTTTGATAATAGTAAATTTTTTATATTTAAGAAGTATTAATTTTTAAAATAAAATAAAAATTTAATACTTTTAAAATTAATTTTTATTCAAACAAAATATTTAAAAAATTAAACTTTTAAAATAGAAACAAATAAACTTTAATATACTTCAATTTTTTAAAGATTATAAATTATATATCTAACTAAAAGCTAACATGTGTGTGCTGAATAACTTGTGGGATTATGCACCAGGGTTGTTTGTGGTTTGTTTTCATCAAGTGCGATGTTTAGCTTCCACTTCACGTTACATTTTGTAAGTTTCTTTTTTTTTTGGATAATGACTACTTTAACAACTTTTGACACTATTGACATGTCCTTCGTGATTGATCCATATGAAAAGGGTTAAAAAAATTAAAAAATGACTTGGAATGCTGGGCAATTGGGGTTCCAGGGGGTTTTCAAATTTAGCGGATTGCACTTTTGGGGTTTAAAATTTTCAAATATTTTTTTTGAGAGATCACCCCCTAGACGAGAAAGAACTCCTCCCACCCACAAACTCCCTCGCTCACAATCGGGCTGTTCATCGACAAAGAGCGTTCAACGAACTGGCCAACCATTCACGCAGAAGGGTTGTTGTCCTGTCCCGTTTCGGCCATTTCATTCATCACTCCACATTCACATTCACCATTTCAACCACCAACGAATGCGAAACCACCATGACGTGGTTTTTGGAGCTTTCCCATGTGCTTTCGCTAATCCTTCACTTGTTTGGTGGGTTTAGTTGTTTTTATATTTTTTTAAAACGCATTTAGAGTTGTTGATATTATTTTAGGGTTGTTGTGGTTTTTTTTGGGTGCAAAGTTTAATGTTTTTTGTGTTTTGTTTGATTTTTTTTTTTTTATTTTTACTTATTTTTGTCAATTTTTTCTGTAACAATCCTGGATTTCATTGCACACCAACCTCAAACAAGTAAGTAAATGTTGTATAGAAATTTTTTTTGTAGTTTTCTTTCAAGGCTTAATTACCTACTTAGTCCCATGTTGGCGGTAATTTCTGTTTAGTACCCGGTTTTAAAATGTAGGCATTTGGTACCTACTGTTTTGAAATTTGTAATCAATTCAATCCTTCCAGTTTAACGGCGTTATATGATGCGAGAAATTAAGGACGTTAATGAAGATGCATTCAAACATTTGATATTTTATTTCCCACCCAGGCTATCATTAACGTCCTTAATTTCGCATCAATTTAACGCCCGTTAACTGGAATAGGATTGGAATTGATAAAATTTCAAAACATAGGTCCCAAATGTCTACATTTTTAAAACGGGTACTAACAGAAAATACCCCTAACTGTCGGAACAATCGGTACCGTTATAGAGTCGCGCAGCGGAATAAAATACTCGGAAAGCGTGTTACGGTCCACAAATCAAGTTTTTGATAGTCCGTTTTAGAAAAACAATTTTTTCTTAGGATAAAATTTATCAAACATTTGTATGCGTAAAATGTAAAGAGTATAGAGAGCAAGAAAATTAAACACAGAATTTTATCCTGTTCGATTCAAAAGAATCTACGTCAGTTGTTAATCACTATAAAAAGTGATTAACGTTTTCACTAAAAACAGTTTTACAAATTACAATAAGAGTGAATAAAAACAAATAAAAAACCTTCCTTCGACGAACGAACCGGAAGATGACCACCTTGCCAACTCGAAGAGAACCGCTCCGACTATCGACACACGAAACGCGAGCTTCTCCTATTCACGAGACCAGGCAAAGCACTTGAACTAGCTTTTTAGAACTTCCTCAGATAACACTGTATTCTCAAAAGCTCAGAGTTTTTTCTAAGACGTTCTGGAACTCCATCTATATAGCCCCTGGTCTAAAGTTTGCAAAGATGATTATAACTGCCGCCGCAGATAACGATTATTGTAGTGATAATCGATTATTTCGAGTGTCCGTTACAGGGTTTTCAAAAAGTGATAATCGATTATCCTGAGATATCGGATTATTTTCCGAGAAACTTTGGCAGTTCTCATCAGAACTGTGATAATCGATTATCGGAGTAATAATCGATTATCCATAGCAACGCGGTTTTTTCAAGAAGGGCTCAGGATACCGATTATAGCTTCTAATAATCGATTCCAATGCGTAGCAGTTCTAAAAATACGAATTTTTCTTTCTAAGTATTACATGTTGAAGACTTTTCCTAATACATTTATAATCTACAAATTGCTTTTTAAAACAACAAAACATGTATCACATCATCATCTTGCAGCATCATCAAATTGTTTTATCTTCAAATTTACCAATGCTCTTCTTGGTAACAATCTCCCCCTTTTGATGATGATCAAAATCCTTTTTAAAAGCAATGTTGGGTTTACTGCAAAATATACAAACTGAGAGACAACATTAGGAGTTAGTATAACTGCACATATTTCCTCCCCTTTTTTGAATCATAAGACAAAGAGTGATATATGCTCCCCCCTTAATATGAGCTCCCCTCAATTAAACAGTTCTAAGACTAAAACCAGAGATCAGTTTTATTCAGGAAAACATTAAAGATTACAAGGGCACTAAAGCAAGACAAATGAAGATGATAAAACATTCTAGGAATTCAAAACAAACAAACAGAAGCCACTAATCACAGAAAATCCTAATCTAATTCAATTCAGGACTGGTGGTCCTCTGGATGGTTGGAGATTAAATGATTTTCAATGTTTCCAATGCTAGTGTAGGTCATTGAACTGGCGATCACAAATTCTCATGATTTTGTTGCCACTCTATATTTGGTCAATGAGATTGTTGAAAGAGCGCATATCCCTCCAGTTGTTTAGACAGGTTTGCAAAATGATCCTCCATAGTCAGGGATGAATTTGAAGGCATGTGAGAAGGACCATCATCAGCAGAGGTAGCAGTTGGGACAGGATCAACCATATGGGCCTCCAT